AGACATGCATATAAATTCGGTTATATAGACGCGCAGCATGTTCCAAAGTTCAGAGTTCGGTTCATAGATCTGCTCTTGCATATGCGCAAATTTTTGAGTCATACATCATGTAAAATCGAACGATGGGCTATGAGGCCCAATCTTTGTTAGTGACAATTTCGTAAATCGAAATAATTGTCGGTGCAGTAGAGTCTGTTCCTTAAATGGGGGACGTCTGAACTAATGGCACTCGAGCGTCAAAGATGTGCGAATGCCAAATGCCGCACTAATAGTCAAAAATAATCTCGAGTTCGTAATTCCGTCAGCCAATCACTGATGGCTTTCCAAGCTGAACACACCAATCGTAGACGATAAATGCGCCCCTACGTGTACTTAGGCCGCAACATGTACTTGAACCGCTACGTGTACTTAGGCCGCTACATGTACTTAGGCCGCTACGTGTACTTGGGCCGCTACATGTACTTAAACCGCTACGTGTTCTTGGACCGCTACGTGTACTTGGACCGCTACGCGTACTTGGACCGCTACGCGTACTTGGGCCGCTACGCGTACTTGGACCGCTACGTGTACTTGGGTCGCTACGTGTACTTGGACCGCTACGCGTACTTGGACCGCTACGCGTACTTGGACCGCTACGCGTACTTGGACCGCTACGCGTGGCCGCTACGTGTACTTGGGCCGCTACGTGTACTTGGGCCGCTACGTGTACTTGGGCCGCTACGTGTACTTAGGCCGCTACGTGTACTGGGGCCGCTACGTGTTCTTAGGTCGCTAAGTGTACTTAAGCGCGTTTTGATAGTACGTCCCCGGCACTTCAGGCTCTTGCCGCGGCAGCCGAAGATGATGCCACAATATGGTGTTTTTCTATGAACACTAAATTGCTAATATATCAAAATAAGATTTTATAGCAAAGGAAAAAGGTTTATTTTTCTCAAGTAATTGTTTTTAATTCAGTTTTCAATTTCACTCGGTACATTTTCACGTCGCAATTATTGTTATCCGTCTTCTTGGATGTTACTTTGATAACTGTATACCTGAAGGATCAGTTCGCTGAAAACTTTCCACAAGAAATATGTTCAATATTGAAATTTAATCACGGTCAAAATACGATTTATCTAAGGATAAAGAAGCAGATTTTATGAGGGACACATTAGTTTACTTAATGGAATTCTCAATGATGTAAAGCCTAGATATCTAGCACTCATAATTCAAAATTGCCGTTCGTTAGCTTATATGCTATCAAAATATACAATGACTTATCTATCATATAATGAAGAGTGTGTACTTCATTCTAAATGGACTCCAATCCATTTTTAGACTGGACTCCAGTCTGAATATCAAGACGCAATGATTATTAGTTTGTATGACTATAAACACAAACAACATGAAGTATTAATTAAATAGCACAGCCATAATAGAAGAGAACTTGGCACCCGCCAGCAGCTCGGTGCCGCTCACTAGCAGATGTTGATAACAGTTCATAGGTTGACCATAGGATCTACACTCAGTGAAATGAGGAAACTTAGTGCAAATAGTGATGTATTTCTAGCCAATATGATTGTAATCCAGACCCAGTTTCGCCCTGCAAATGTGCGTGCTACAATGCCACGTCTCATGCTGTTGTAAGAAATTAAGTCACTAACAGGACAATATGAATCATTCATTTGCCCGCGTGTATGTTAACATCGCTGTTCACAGTCTGTTAGATTTTTAACCATATTAAATTCTGATGCCCCATCGAAAACACATTTCTATTTAAATTTCGAATTAAGAGACCACTTCCAGATCTTGATTCTCCTGCCCCATCGAAAACAAATTTCTATTCAAATTTTTACTGAAGAGATCACTTCTCTATTTAAATTTTTATTGAAGAGGTCATTTATCTATTCAAATTTTTATTGAAGAGATCACTTCTCTATTTAAATTTTTCTCACTAGCAGATGTTGATAACAGTTCATAGGTTGACCATGAGTCCACATACTCTACACTGTTAGAAAAATTACAGTTAACGGTATTACCGGCGTTTTAGTGGCCGGTCAGCAGGTGAAAAGAAACACCGTATTGCCGTTTTTATTCTAATTTAACACTAGAAATTCGTAAAACATCTGATAAAAACGGCGAAACGGTTTATTTTCACGGGGCTACCGGCCACTAGAACGCCAGTGGGGCCGTTTTTTGTAACAGTGTACACTCAGTGAAATGAGGAAACTTTGTGCAAATAGCGATGTATTTCTAGCCCATGTGTGGGTAATCCAGACCCAGTTTCACCCGGCAAATGTTCGTGCTACAGTGCCACGTCTCATGCTATTGTAAGAAATTAAGTCACTATTGGACAATATGAATTGTTATTTTCCCGCGTGTATGTTAACATCGCTGTTCACAGTCTGTTAGATTTTTAACCATATTAAATTCTGATGCCCCATCGAAAACACATTTCTATTTAAATTTTTATTTAAGAGATCACTTCTCTATTTAAATTTTTACTGAAAAGATCACTTCCAGATCTTGATTCTCCTGCCCCATCGAAAACAAATTTCTATTCAAATTTTTACTGAAGAAATCACTTCCAGATCTTGACGACTCCCATGGCGTCCGAGGAGACGATGAAGCGCTGCGGGACGTCCACCAGCACCACGTCGGTGATGGTGTCCTTGTGGCCGCTGGCAGGACGATGAGGATCGTACAAGTCGGAAGGATTGCAGGAGGACATCACCCAGGGACTTGACGAGGAGTCCTTGCGGTGGTGGGACGACAAGCGATCCTCTACGATGACCGTGTTGCCCCCTTGCTCGACCCGCACCTCCCTGGGAGTGAGAGGTCATAGTGAGGTGCTGAGTGATAGTAGTAATGAGATAACGCCATACCGTTCCTCAGTAGCAATGATGACATAGGTGCTTCGTAATGGATTTATTAACATAATCACTAGTGAAATGATCAACAGTGGTCATTAGTGGCCATCACTAGTGAAATGATCATTGGTGTCCATCACAAGTGAAATGATCCCTGATGGTAATGACTAGTATAATTAGCAAAATAATCACCAGTGGCCACTTTACGGATTCAGGAAGCAGTGACTGAAGTCCAATTGCTTCTCTTAATCGACCTCATTGTAATATTCTTAGTAATAATGAACGACTTGCCAATATCAGGGATTATGCGGAATGCCTCACTATGAACAGCGATGCCTTCAATATGCTTTTATTAGTTCATTAGTTCATTTAATCAGCGGAAAATGTTCATGTTTTAGGAATAAATGTGTAGGAATAAATCTAAAGATTCCTTCTTGAATATCTAGGTTAAAGATAATGAACATCTTCAATATCTTCCTTTTCACAGACAAGCGTGGGGTGGTCACTTATACCTGAAGGAGGTGTCGGGGGAGGCGGGGTGGTCACTTATACCTGAAGGAGGTGTCGGGGGAGGCAGGGTGGTCACTTATACCTGAAGGAGGTGTCGGG